GAATAACCAACACTGGGTTTTATTGGTCGCTGATCTGAGTGAGGGGAAGTGGAAAATGTACGACTCATTACCCAACCAGATGCACAAAGCCGTGTGCAACGACGTTGTAAGTTACTCTCAATTGTTAAAGATATTATTTCTGCAATTTTCAACAGTTTAGTACATTCACTGATCACTATTTTACTGTGTAGATCGCACGTTTTGGCTTTGATGTCGAAGCTTCTTTCAGGGCTAAACCCGGGAAATGGAAAATTACACTGGTTAGAGGTGTTCCCGTACAAACCAACAGTGTTAATTGTGGAATGTTTGTCTGTAAATTTATAGAAAAATTAATACAAATCTATAGACGTGATTGGAGTGAGGATATGAGCCGGCAGACAGAAATGCCAAAATTTAGGGCAGAGCTTGCCCAAGATATTTGTTTGTGGGTACAAAACCGTAATCAGTAGACTTATTTCTTTGTTAATATTGTTATTCTTGTATTTCAATCGTTATATTATTCTCGGATTATTGTCTTTTTATTTTAGTATTCCTCAATGAGTAGTTGCAATAATCCTTGTAGTATTATTGTCGTTTTATTATAGTGTTCCTGAATAACTAGTTACAATGATCGTTGTAGTATTATTGTCGTTTTATTGTAGTTTTCCTTTCAGATATGTAGCAATGATCGTTGTAGTATTGTTGTCGTTTTATTGTAGTATTTCTGTTTTATTAGTTGTAATAATCGTTACAGTATTCTTGAAGTAATAGTTGTAGTATCGTTGTCGTTTTATTGTAGTATTTCTGTTTTATTAGTTGCAATAATCGTTACAGTATTCTTGAAGTAATACTTGTGGTATTGTTGTCGTTTTATTATAGTATTTCTGTTTTATTAGTTGCAATATTCGTTCCAGTATTCTTGAAGTAATAGTTGTCGTATTGTTGTCGTTTTATTGTCGTATTTCTGTTTTATTAGTTGCAATAATCATTCCAGTATTCTTGAAGTAATAGTTGTCGTTTTATTGTGTTATGCTATTCTTGTATTTTTTTTGTTATAGTATTATCCTCGTATTATTGTGGAATTGTTGCAGTACTATTGTAATCTTGTTGTCTAAAATATTTTAATCTTGCTGCAATATTATGGTTGTATATATAGCTCTCTAATCAAATCAAGATATTTTGTTAATATTATTGTTGTTCGGGAATATTTTGGTATTATTCGACACAAATCAGAGTAAAAATTAAGATAAATTCTCAAAACATTTTAAAATGTTGTTTAATCATTCTTAGATGCTCTGTAGTAGTCGTATTATTTATTTATCCTCGGCACAAGCTAGATACAACCGCGGACCTGCGAATCCAACAAAGGAATATTCCAATAAAACCGTGATATATTCCTCCGCCAGCGCACATTTATATTTTGGTTGTATTGCGGTAGTACTTCGGATATATTTTGGTATTATTCACCGCAAACGAGAGATAAAATGAAGATAAAATCTAAAAATATTTTAAATCCCACGGATCTTATTAAAATGTCTTTTAATCATTCTTAGATGCTCTGTAGTATTCGTATTATTTATTTATCCTCGGCACAAGCTAGATACAACCGCGAACCTGCGAATCCAACAAAGCGAATCCAACAAATCCAACAAAGGAATATTCCAATAAAATCGTGATATATTCCTCCGCCAGCGCGCGTTTATATTTTGGTTGTATTGCAGTAGTACTTCGAATATATTTTGGTATTATTCACCGCAAACGAGAGATAAAATGAAGATAAAATCTAAAAATATTTTAAATCTCACGGATCTTATTAAAATGTCGTTTAATCATTCTTAGATGCTATGTAGTAGTCGTATTATTTATTTATCCTCGGCACAAACTAGATACAACCGCAGACCTGCGAATCCAACAAAGGAATATTCCAATAAAACCGTGATATATTCCTCCGCCAGCGCGCGTCTATATTTTGGTTGTATTGCGGTAGTACTTCGGATATTTTTTTGTATTATTCACCGCAAACGAGAGATAAAATGAAGATAAAATCTAAAAATATTTTAAATCCCACGGATCTTATTCAAATGTCGTCTAATCATTCTTAGATGCTCTGTAGTAGTCGTATTATTTATTTATCCTCGGCA